CAGATAGCTCCTTAGACATGGAAAGTCAATACTGATGGGGAAGCTGGACACTTGGAGGCCACTGGAGGGAAGGATGAGCATGGCATTCCCACTGCTCAGGCCAGCCAGCAGCATGCCCTGCATCCACGGTCCCAACCTGTACGGCAGAATCCCCCTCTCAATGCACAATTCCCAGACCCAGAGGGCCCTAGCCCAGACTCAACCTGAGCCCTGAAAGGGAAGGGGCACCGGGGTGCCTTGGGGTCCCCAGCAGCAGCCAAGATACACAGGAGACAGAGTCCCCCGTGGCCCTGGCCAGAACTAGTATTTGGCTTAAGGCAGAGCAAGCCCCCTTGGAGCACTGCGTACATACCCGGGGCCTATGTGTGCCTAGCAAGGCCAAGCTGATGATGTTACCAAGCTCGAACTACCACTGGCCACCTGGGTGAGGGTAGGGCAGAAACAGGCGGACCAGCCACCAACCTCATCCATTCAAGGAAGCAGAAATGGTCAGGCTCCTGCAGGATAGGTGGCCACCACCAGACCAGCAACGGGGTGGAGTCCTGAGGCCCAAGCAGATGGCACTGGGGCCCTGCTTCCAGGGTCCACAATCTGCTCCAGGACACAGAACTGAAGAAAACCAAGAAAATGAGAGTCCAGGAGGCTGGATCCCTCATCTGCCGTTCTTGGCAGTTGCATTTTCTGGTCAGAAAAAGTCAGGAAACTTGGCACTACTCACCGCAGGAGGCTCCAAGGTGGGACCAGAGCTTCCAGCACAGATTCAGCAATGCCTAAGAAAGCCTCTTCTTGGGGGAAAGGACCCCTTCCTTGGCCTCAAAGCCCCCACTGATTTTGATTAAAGCACAGTAAAGTCTTTGTTGTTACGACCTGCCTGTTTTTGAGTTGCCCAGAGCTCTCTGCAGGAAACCCTGGGCACATTGAGGTGGATGGGAAATGAGGGTGACACAGCCCAGACCCCTGACCAGCGTCTCACAGCCTCCCCATCCCAAAGGCCGCAGCAGGGCCAAGGACCAGAAAGGCCAAGGTTCCCACACAACTGTGAGGCCACACTGCACTGCAGCCTCCCACTCTCAGGCAGATGCCAGGGTTAAGACCAATAATTTACTGTAATTCAAACTGTGCCTGACAGGGAACCCCAGAGGGCTGGGAAGGGAGCAAAAGTTGGAGTTCCAGTGACATTGCTCATTCATGACAGTCTGTACAAAGCATCCTTGAGAGGGTCTGCTGTCACCTGTGCCTACTGTCCCTTGGTGGCTGGTCTCCAGCAGCCCTCCCTCCCTTTCTTCCCTCCCTCCCTCCCCATATCCCTCCCTCCCTCTCTCCTTCCCTTGTCCCTCATCCTTCTTTCCATCTCATCTCCTCTCAGTATCTGGCAATCCCACGTCCTGAGCCTGTGCCAAGGCGGGACACAAAGGACACCACTGACAACAGGCCAGGTGACTAGCGGGGTCAGGGGAGCCTTGTGGAGTCAGAGTGGATGGGGAGGGGCTCATCTGTGCAGCACAGGACTGTGTGTGTCCCTGCGTGTGCACATGTGTATGTGTATGTGTATGTGTATATGTGTGTGTGTGTGTGTGTGCCTGTGCACCCCTGTTTACTCAGTTCTGCTGTAAGTCCATGTCCATGACCCCAGAAGATCCCAGGTATGTCCTCACTGACATCTGCTGAGATCAAGCATGGCCCCTGCTGGTAGTTATTGCACTGTGTGATGCCATCCTCGGGACCTCAGAGCAATAGAAATTAATGAACCCCTTTAGGCTTCTCTTTCCAATGGGACATAAAGAAGTTACATGGACAGAAGTTATATCCTGTTTTCTTTCCATTGACTCTTTTACCATTTTTCTCCTCTTACTGATTTTGAATGAAGGGGGTTTTTCATGAGGGTAAGGCAACCGGCAAGAAATGAAGTAACAGCCACGTGCAGTGGCTCACACCTGTAATCCTAGGATTTTGGGAGGCTGAGGAGGGTGGGTTGCCTGAGTCCAGAAGTTCAAGACCAGCCTAGACAACATGTTCAAAGCCCATTTCTACCAAAACAAAAAAATTAGCCAGGCGTGGTGGCACGCGCCTGTAGTTCCAGCTACTGGTGGGGCTGAGGTGGGAGAATGGCTTAAGTCTGGAGGTGAGAGAGTGGAGATTGCAGTGAGTCGAGCTCATGCCATTGCACTGCAGCCTGGGCAACAGAGCAAGATCCTGTCTCAAAAACAAAAAGAAAAAAAGAAAAGGAAAGAAATTAGGTACTCAGAAACTAGCAAAGCTTCGCCTGGCTGTCTGGAGACAGCCCTTGTGTGGTCCCCAGCACACTTCACAGGTTCTAGGCTGGCCACCCTGTGGCCTCTGTACTGTGTGTTTAGACCCAGGCTCTGTGGGAAGGGCCCCATGAGACCCAGCAGAACAGGGTAGCTGGCCTGACAAACATCCCCCCATTTCTCTGGCTGCAGCTTGGGAATAGGCCCAGACAGCATGTCCAGGAAACGCCAGACAACCTCACTCTATCCTGTGAGACAGGCCCGGTGGGCCTTGAAGGGGTGAGCATGACGCTGGGCACCCAGAGCCTGAGAGCAACTGTCCCTCCCTGTGCCCTGGAGGAGGGGCCTGTCCCTAGGGCCTGGCCTGGCGTTGTAGACGTGGGGAGAGAAGGGACTGTGGACTCAGGAAGAGGCATTGGTATGGGACTTTGAGCACCACTGCTCCGGGAACATGAATGACAGGGTGGGAGGCATCTTCCATTTCTACCCCAAGCACAGCGCCCCTTTGACTCCTGAGGGCCGTGAGGAGTCCTCTCCCCAGAGCTTTTTATAGATCCTTTGTATGAGTCCATCAGAGGTGAGATTTGCAAATACTTGCTTCAGCCTAGGACTTGTCTTTTCATTCTCCCCACAGGGTCTTTCAGAGTGCACACATCATTGTGATGAAATTCAATTGATCATGTTTTTTCCTTGTATGCATCATGCTTTTGGTGCTTATCTAACAAATATTTCTCTAATCCAAAGTCACACTAATATCTACCTTTTTCCTTATGCAAATTTTAAAGTTTTAGGCCTTACATTTTGGTTTATGATACATTTTGAATAATGGTGCCATGTATGAAGTTTTTAATATGCATATCTAATTGTTCTAATAGTGTTTGTTGCTAAGATTGTCTTTTCTCCACTGAATTTGCTGTACACCTTTTGAAAAACAATTGAATATATATGTGATGGTCTATTCTGGACTCTGTATTCTGTTCTGTTGATCTATTTGTCTATCCTCTTACCACTACCACACTGTCTGAATTTCTGAACCTTTACAATAAGTCTTGAAGTTAGGTACTTTAGCCATCTTACTTAATTCTTCTTTTTTAGAGGGTTTCTTTTTTTATGCTAGGTTCACTGCATTGCCATACACAGAAACACGTGCCCTTGAGCACACATACATATGCAATACAAATATACATATGCAACACAAATATAAATATAGGCACAGAATGACAAAGTGAAATTTATCCCAGGAATGCAAGGCTGCTTCAACATTAAAAATGGGCCTGTATAACCTACCATATTAACAGATAAAAAGACAACAGCACATCATTATTTCAGTATATTTAGAAAAAGCATTAGACAAAATCCAACAACCTTATAAAAACTTCCAGTCTATTTCTATTCCTAAAAACTAGGAATAGAAGTGAGTTTTCCTAAACTGATAAAAGGCACCTACAAAACCTCTGCAGTTGATGTTTAGTGGACGTTACTCTTAATGATGAAAGACTGGGTGCTTTCACCCCAGAAGAGGAACTAGGCGAGGCTGTCAGCTCTCACTACTTGTATTCAGCATCCTATGGAGAGTCCAGCAGTGCAAAGGGCTCCTTCCTTTAGCAGACTCAGATTTCCATCTGGAGTCATTGTTCTCCTGCTAGATGGATGTCCTTTACCATTTCTCAATCTATACATCTCCTGTGATGATTTCTTTCCTCTTTTGTCTATTTGAAAAACCTCTTTATTCTGCCTTTTTATTGGAAAATATTTTGACTGTGTAAAGAATTCTAGGTTGGCATTTATTTTCTTTAAAAAGAAGTACTTCCATACAACTTGCAATTTTCCAACAAGAAATCTGCTTTGTATCTTTGATTCTCTGTACATATATGTCTTTTTCTTCTCTAACTGCTTGTAGGAGGACTCAACTTCTCGCAGATAGACATGTATGATAAAGATGCAGTAACTACATCAAGTGTGGTATTGTCCATGGATGGATAAATAGACTGATGGAATAGAGCAGAGGGCCCAGAGACAGACCCACAAGAGTCCAACCGTGATTGATCTCCAAGGAGGAGAGTGATGGTGAAGGGCTATATTTGTTATAATGTACTGAGGCCTTTGGATAGCTATTGGCTAAATGGGCCAAGTGGCCTTTTGGCTTAGGCTGAAGCAGGATAATAGTAATGTTATCTATTCATAAAATTGTTAAAATTACCTGGTTTCATATTTGCAAAGTAATTAGAGCAGTATTGAGGTAAAAGGAAACTTCAGTGAACATTTCCCTTAGTCATAGTTGTTTCCACCACTTGACTTCCTGCCCTATTCAGAGTCATGTTTGCCAGAATTCAAGCACCTCCTTATGGAGCAGACTCCACAGGGCATGATGTGGTTTGAATCTGTGTTCCCCACCCAAATCTCACATCCATTTGGAGGTTGGGCCTGGTGGGAGGTGATTGAATCATGGAGGCAGATTTCCCCCTCAGTGCTGCTGTCATGATAGCGAGTGAGTGCTCACCAGATCTGATTGTTTCAAAGTGTATAACACCTCTCCCATTGCTCTCTTCCTCCTGCTCCTGCCATGTGAAGACGTGCCTGCTTCCCCTGCACCTTCTGCCATGATTGTAAGTTTCCTGAGGCCTTCCCAGCCGTGCTTCCTATACAGCCTGTCAAACTGTGAGCCAATCAATCCTGTTTTCTTTATAAATTACCCAGTCTCAGATATTTCTTTATAGCAGTGTGAGAACGGACCAATACAGGGCATCATGATCAGTTCTGGGGAACAGTTTCCTGGAGTGGGAGGAGCTCCATCCTGGTAACCTGCTGTTCCCTTGCCTGAGACCCCTTGTCTCCTCCACCTTCCATCTCATTCAACAAAGCCCTTAGGAGAACAACCTTTAAGGACTCCCCATGCCTCTTCCTTTGAAGGTAGCCAGCCAAAAAGTAGATGGCTGATTGAGCCATACTGACTACCATGGACAGCAGCAACAGGAGGTCAAAGGCAAAGGTCAGGTATTCTTCTCCTGGCAGGTACACAGGGACAACTAAGGGCAGGCCCCAGATGAGGAAGCTGATGGCCACAAAGCGGACAATGTGGTAGATCCGGATGGGTGAACACTTCTTCAGGCAGCACAGGCTCCTGATGGTCAAAGTCAGGCTGGAAATGCCCATCACAAGACAAATAAGCATGTGAAATATTATAAAGCCTGCATGAAATTGGTCACATGCCAAGCCCTTCTCCCAGTACTCACAGACCTGGCTAACCACATGCAAAGAAAGGCCCAGGACCCAGCTCAGGGCACTCATCATGGCAGAGGTGTGTTTTGGGCGGTGGCAACACCAGGTGGGACAGAGGACACGCAGAAAGCTCTCAATACTCATGGCCACCAGGAGACAGAGACCCACTGTGTCGGAGAAATAGGAGACAGGCTCCAGAAACACGGCCACCTGCAATGTCACTTGGTGATACAGCACGAGGATTTTCTCCAACAGGATCACAGTTACACAGGAGAGGTTGACCATATCAGCAGCGGCCAGGTTAAGGATGTATGCCATGTAGGGGTTGCTCCTGACCTGGGAGCAGAGGAGCCAGCAGACCACACCATTGCCCACCAGCCCACATAAAGCCACCAGCACTGTCAGGATGAAAACCACCTGTTTGCCCACCAACCACTCGCCTCCCGTATGACTCATGTTCATGTGTCCTGGGGTCTCTGTCCCGTTGTCCCAATCCGGCTTCCCAGAGAACATTGAGAGAAGCTGGGCCGTAGTGGGCTGCCTTTGCTGCCTGGGCACACTCTGCAAAGACAAAGGTTGGTAACTTACCAGGTCTAGGAAGGAGAGTCAGGGTTGCCTTCTGACCTGCTGGGCTTCCCAAGAGGGTCCTGCTGGGCCTCCCATGATTGGTGGGAATCTCACAGAGCAAAGTCAAGGAGAGGAATGAGTCTCCTGTGGGAGATCCATCCATCCCATATCCTCCATGGCAGGGTACCCTCTCCTGCTTGCCCCCATCCCTCTCTCCACCTCGTTCAGGTATTCTTGATGCTGTGCCCAACACCAGGTGTGTATCCATGCGCCCAGGTGCCCATAAGGGAAAAAGGTGCATTTCTTTACCTTTGTTCTCCAACTCCCTCACTGACACAGACAGTTTTCATGGCATGGTTTTGGTGGAGGCACCAGGCAATTCCTCTACCCTAAGGCTCTGAGAGATTCTGAGTCCCAGATGGGGCAGTTGCTTTTCAGTGCTCTGGGGAAGGTCTACCCAATCTCTCTCCTGCTCACCTCCTGTCAATTTCTCACTTTCAGCACAAGGGCCTCCTGGTAGGACCTTTATGCTGTTCTGCTGCCTAGAAGGGCCTCTGCACATCCGTAAGCTTTGTCTCCTCTTTCCAATCTTTGCCCCAGGATCAACTTCCAGAGAAGCTTCTGCTGATCATCCTATTAACATTGCATTCATCACATGCTGTGTGTCTATGCAGATTACTTACTTACTTACTTTTGCAGGAATCCCTCTGTGGAAATGGAAGATTTATTGGGTTTTTATTCTCTTCACAATGTTGTTCACTAACTTCTCCAGCTCCTGGAACAGGGTTTGACACAGAGGAGTCACTTGGGTAGGGTGCCTATGGAGAGCTTTATGTAGGTCAGTTACACTTGGGGAAGTGCTGGTGACCTCTTCATGGAAGCAAACTTTGCTTCTGAATCATAGAAGCTTCTGGAACAAAGTTTGTTCCACAAACTGATTTAAAAAAAAAAAGATTTCTTGGGGTCCCGAGGGAGACACGCACCTGAGCCCTGGGCTACATCCACAACAGGAGCAGGCACTCTTCTCCACATTGCCAATCACAGGTCGTTCTTTGTAGAATCATGCGGGGAGGGTGACCAACTTCTCCTGCTTTGCCTATGACTTTCCCAGTTTGAGCTCTGAACATCTCTTCTCCTGAAAACCCTCATAGCCCTCGGAAAACCAAGGTGGTTTGTCGCCCAACTTGAAAGTTAAACAGGAAAAGGTCAGTACCCCTTCTGGAATCCTACAGCTTGGTTAAACCCAGTGGTCTGAGGGGTTCATGCTGAGACTGTGAGAGCTGACCTCTTGGGGGCAAATCCCAGCTCTTTTTCATAGTAGCTGACTCTTGTTTGCCTCAGCATCCCCATCTAAGGGCTGTTGCTGTGGAATGAATTGTATTCTTCTAAATTCGTATGTTGAACTATCGCAGTACCTCAAAATGTGACTGAATTTGGAGACAGGGACATTAAAGGGGTAATTATGTTTAGATGGGTCATTAGGGTAGGCCCTAATCCAATAGGAGTAGGAGTGTTCATAAGCAAAGGCGATTAGGACACAGACACCCACAGAGGGATGATCATGTGAAGACACAGGGAGAAGGCGGCCACCTACAAGCTAAGGAGAGAGGCTTTGAAAAGAAATGATCCCGGCAATGTTTTGAGCTCAGACTTTCAGCTTCCTAAAACTGAGAGAATGAACTTCTGTTGCTTAAGCCACTCAGTCTGTGATCTCTGTCATGGGAGCCTGAACTGATGATCACATTTATGATGAAAACTTTACAGATGGAATTATGGAAAGTCTCAGAACAGTGAGATCTACCTGGTTCTACAACCCTGAGCTGCTGAAGCTTCACTTCTGAATCACAGAAGCTTCTAGAACAGAGCTTGTTCCACAAACTGACAAATGCCTGCGATATGCCTGGAAATATCCCACAGGTGACCCTGTGGCCTGCAGTCACATATTGGTGCATCAGTAGGGTTTAGGAGAATGCTAGGGACCAGCTCCAAGTGAGCCCAGTGTTTGAATCTTCCCTCCTTGCCGGGATGATGGAGTCCCCTTCAGTCAGCAGCTTTCTTAAAATGGAAGGGTCCAGCCCTAGCCACTCCCCTCCCTGCGCTTGTTGCCTAGACTCTCTTATCTGAGGCCAGAGAGGACCGCAGATATGGCTCAGATCTAATCTGGTCATAGGATGAGTCTTGGGGCTTGGCAACATTGGTGCCCATGGAAACATCAGGGTGACCTGCAGTTCTGTGCCTGGGTCAGGGTGTCAGAACTCGTGATGGTGACAGAAGAGAAGCTGCAAACAGACCTCCGTGGGCCACCAGGGCACCAAGCAGGAGCAGCTGGGCTCTAGTCTCCAACCAGGAAAGATTTATAGATAAAAGAGTTTCAGGGGGAGAGGTGACTTCCCCTTCAACAAAGAGAAAATATCCACTTTGGAGGCAACATGTGGCTTCAGGGGCAGAGCCAGGCTTCCCATCCCTGGGCTCACTGTGACCCAGTTCATGCCCAGAGACCACTACTGAGGCCAGTAACTAAGCAGCACATTCTTCGTTATCACACAGGAGGAAGACACAGCCCTCCTGCGGGGAAGGCTTCAGTGCCTGGTGCGGCCCCAGTACTGGGCACAGAGAGATCCTAGCTCCTGGAAATGTCATTTCCAAGTTGGGTCATGAGCCAAGCTCCCCAAGGAGCATATACAACACACAGGTTGGATCCTGGGATTCAGGGAGCCAGCTCTGATGGAAGTGCTCAGGTTGGTGCAGCCAAAATAACCAAGTAACCTTTCCATTGGGATTGAAGTACTTGCTCTGGTTCTGAGGTGAGAGCCCACTCTCCCCACTGAATCTTTATTTGAGGTGAAATTTACATAACACAAATTAACCAATCTAAAGTGCACAGTTCTGCCTCACTTAGCACCTTCACAATGTTGTGCAACCACCACCTCTATCTAGTTCCAAAATATTTACATACCTCCACAAGAAAGCTCTGTATCTGTTAGCAGCTACTCCCCTTGTCTTCCTCCTCCCAGCTCTTGGCAACCCCATCTACCTTCCATTTCTGCACATTCACCTATTCTGGACATGTCCTATTAGTGGAACCAGACCCTCTGTGATCTTTTTGTCTGTTTCTTTCACTCAGCCTCTTGTTTTCACAGCTTATTCACAGAGTAGCATGCATCAGAACTTCATTCCTTGTGTTAGACACGAACTAAATATGAATATAGAAGCCGTGAAATCAGAAGATCCAACAGGATTTTCCTAGAAGTCCAAGACCACACCTCAGTAACACAGTGGCTCAAATCCTACCTTTAACAGAATAAAACACCCGCTGCCCATCTGCACAGCTGGGGCATTTGTGAACCAGCGGCCAGAGCGCAGTTGTGGCTAACCTGCTGGGACTACCCTGGAACCCCAAACCCTGCTTTCTCCAGGAAACTGGTTTCTGTCCTGTCCCCATTTTCCTGAGAAATGCACCTTCCCCAGTAAAAAATCATGAGGTTTCAAATTCCAGGAAAACGTCTCTGAGTTAAAATGGTTTGAAAATGAAAGAAGGAAGAGAGATCTTTTCTCATACCTGGGAAGTCTTGGATAGAATTGGTACCACAGAGGCCAATGTCCCAAGAGATGAAAGTTCTGACCACAGGTCAGGAGGCACTCTAACGATGTCTCATTTGAACTGGGTCCTGACAAGAGGTTGTCAATTTCTCTGTGTCTGTTGGGTCTTCCTGTACTGGGGCAAATAGCATATCAGGGCCCAGGCCTTTATCTGAAACATTGTATCTCAGCATCTTGTGGTATCCTCCATCCCACTAACACTTTTTTTTATATATGTACTTTAAGTTCTAGGGTACATGTGCACAACATGCAGGTTTGTTACATATGTATACATGTGCCATGTTGGTGTGCTGCACCCATTAACTCGTCATTTACGTTAGACTCTATCCTGAACAATAGCTCCCCCAAAAAAGAAGGATCTTTAAGACAAGTTGTCACCTGCCTGCCTGTGTGAATCTCCTAGAGTGATATCCAGCCCAGCCCAGACCATCTGAGACAGGCAGGAGAGGGAACTCTGGTGGGCATTTTGTCAATAAGCTTGAGCATGCCAGGAACTCAAATGTGCTCCTTTCATTTTGCTGTAAATTGAATTGCATTTTTTTTGCAAAAGATGTGGAAGTTCTTGTAAATCTATCTCAGAACCTCACACTGGATTCGCCAAGCGTAGGGAGATTTGGCTGTGCTTTGTTGGAGCCAACATTTTTTTGCCCTGGTTTACCCCACCACTGACTTGCTTTTTTGTTTGTTTGTTTGTTTTTGTTTTTGAGATGGAGTGTCACTCTTGTTGCCCAGGCTGCAGTGCAATGGCACAATCTCGGCTCACAGCAACCTCAGCCTCCTGGGTTCAAGCGATTCTCCTGCCTCAGCCTCCTAAGAAGATGGAACTATAGTCATGGGCCACAACACCCAGCTAATTTTGTATTTTTAATAGAGATGGGGTTTCGCCATGTTGGTCAGGCGGGTCTCGAACTCCCAACCTCAGGTGATCCACCCACCTCAGCCTCCCAAAGTGCTGGGATTACAGGAGTGAGCCACTGCGCCTGGCCTTGACTTGCCTTTATGAGACGAGAAAAGACATGTCTCCTTGTTCCACTAATTTCAATCAATCAATAAGTCAATTCATTCATTTTCATTACATCTCTCTGAATCAACTGAGAGATAAATTGAGAAGTCAAAACAATGTCCAAAACATTGTATCTTTATTCCTCCCTCCCCTAATGACCTGGGAAGCAGTTTGTGACCCCAAAGCACTTGCTTATATGTTATTCTCTCCAAGAATTGAATTTACTCCTCAAAATAATAGGCACAGGCACCCATGGTCAACACCTGTCTCCTGAAGCTTATCACTTAACGGAGAGAACCCAGGAGTATGTCTCCTCCATGCAGACAGTCAGGTTCCAAGGAGAAAAGAGGAAAAGGCCTTCAAATGCCACATTCAGCCCCTTCTTCTGGATGCCCTACTCAGCAAAGTCACTTGTAGCTGATGCTGGTCAGAGAAACCGTTCCAAATGGGAACATGGGTGTAGGAAATGTGTGCCTCTCACACTCCCCACAGATGGGGCCCTGTGTCTCTTAACTTCCTTAAGTATAAAAGTACATACTCACTAGAATATGATTTTACAACATCTCCATCATCGCTATGCAATGTGTTGGGAAGTGATCCTTTCTGATCTAAATTTTGGAAGAGTTTGTATAGAATTGTATTTTTTTTCTTTAAATGTTTGGTAGAATTCACCAGTAGAGACATCTGGGCCTGAGCCTTTTTAGTGGGAAGATATGCAATGACAATTTTAATGTCTTTATTTCTTGTAGGCTTATTCAGATTTTCTATTTCCTCTTGCGTCAATTTAGGTAATTAGTTTTTCTAGAAATGTATCCATTTCATCAAAGGTGTCTAATATGTTAGCATAAAGTTGTTTGTAGGATTTCTTTATAGTCCTTTAAATTTCCATAAAGTTGGTAGTGATGTGCCCAATTTCATTTCTGAATTTAGGAAATTGAGGCCATTTTTTTTCTTGGCAAGCCTAGCTAAAGGTTTATCAATTGTGTTGTTATTTTCCACAATTCAGCTTTTGGTTTCTTTACTTTTCTCTATTGTGCTTTATTTTCTGTTCCATCTACTCTTGCTCTCATCTTTATTATTTCCTTCCTTCTGCTTGCTTTGGGGTTAGTTTTCTCTTCTTTTCCTTGCTTCTTACCATAGAAAGTTGAATTATTGATTAGAGGTATTTTTCTTTTCCAAAGTAGGCATCTACAGCTATAGATTTTCCTCTAAGCACTGCTTTTTCCCCATCTCATAAATGTTGACATGTTATGGTTTCATTTCATTTCATGCATAATTCTCTAATTTACCCTGTGTTTTTTTCTTTCACCTGTTATTTGTGGATTCCTGAAGTTTCCAACTGTTGGTGATTACTAATTCAATTCCATTGTGGTTGGAATACATACATTATATTAGTTCAATTTTTTTTAATTTATAGATAATTTGTGCCCTCCCATCTAGTCTATCCTGGAGAATGTTCCATGTGTGTTTCAAAAGCATGTATAATTCATTTGTTGTTGTCAAGTTGGTTGATAATGTTTCAGTCTCTGTATCCTTGCTGATTTTCTATCTAGTTGTTCTATCAATGGTTGATAATGGAATGTTGAAATCTTCAACTATTATTAATGATTTGTTTATTTATCCCTTCAATTCTGTCATTTTCACATTTTATGTATTTGGGGGATGTGTTAATTGTGTATATGTTTATAATCCTTATATCCTCCCGATAAATTGAAATTTTTATCATTATAGAATATGCCTCTTTATTTTTAGTAATGCTATTTTTCTCAAGGTCTACTTTGTCCAACATTAGTAGAGCTGTCTCAGCTCTTTTATCATGGTTTTCTACATGGTATACTTTCTTCCACCCTCTTTTTCAACATATTCATTTTTAAGATCTAAAGTGCCTCTTGCAGACTGCATATACCAGACATTGGACATACTAGGTGAACATATTAGAAAAACAATTTTAAACACATTCAAAGAACTAAAGGAAACCTTGTCAAAAGAGCTAAAGGAAACCTTGTCAAAAGAACTAAAGGAATGCATGAGAATGATATCTCACCAAATACAGAACATCAATAATGAAATGGAATGTTAAAAAAGAAACAAATAAAATTCAGTAATTGATAAATATAATCATAGAAGTAAAAACTTCACTAGATGGCCTCAATAACAGATTTGAGAAGGCAGAAGAAAGAATCAGT